ATGTCATTGTTACTTCAGAGCATCAGCCGGAATAGAAGTAAAGGAAAGACAATTTCTCTTCCCCCTCTGCTGTCATCGTTACTTCAGAGCAGCAGTGAGCATAAATCATGGGAAAGACTCTATCTCTATCACCTCGACTGTCATTGTTACTTCAAACCATCAGTCAGCATAAAAGTAAGGGAAAGATTCTCGCTGTTGCCCCTCGACTGTCATTGTTACTTTAGGTCATCAGTCAGCATAAAGGTAAGGGAAAGACCATATCTCTTGCCCCTCGACTGTCATTATTACTTCAGAGCATCAGTCAGCATAAAAGGGAAACACGCTATCTCTTCCCCATCGACTATCATTATTACTTCAGAGCATCAGTCAGCATAAAAGGGAAAGAACCTATCTCTTGCCCTCGACTGTCATTATTACTTCAGAGCATCACTCAGCATAAAAGGGAAAGAACCTATCTCTTGCCCTCGACTGTCATTGATAATTTAGAACATCAATCAGCATAAAAGTAAGGGAAAGTCCCTATCTCTTGCGCCTCGACTGTCATTGTTCCTTCAGTGGATCATTCAGCATGAAAGGGAAAGACCCAATCTCTTGCCCCTCGACTGTCATTGTTCCTTCAGGGCATCAGTCAGCAAAAAAATAAGAGAAAGGCCCTCTTTTGCCCCTCTACTCTCAGTGTTACTTCAGAGCATCCGTCAGGATAAAATTAAGGAAAGACTCTATCTCTTGCCCACGAGTGTCATTGTTACCTCAGAGCATCAGTCAGCATAAAAGTAAGGGAAAGACCCTATCACTTGCGCCTCGACTGTCATTGTAAATTATGAGCATCAGTCAGCATAAATGTAAGGAAAGAACCTATGTCTTGCCCCTCAACTGTCATTGTTACTTCCGAACATCAGTCAGCATAAAAGAAGGGAAAGACACCATGTCTTGCCTCTCGATTCTCATTGTTACATCAGAGCATCAGTCTGCATAAAATAAGGGAAATACCCTATTTCTTGCCACTCGACTGTCATTGTTACTTCAGAGTGTCAGTTAGCATAAAAGTAAGGGAAAAGCCCTATCTCTTGCCCCCTGGCTGTAATTGTGACAGCAGAGCATCAGTCAGCATATGTGTAATAGAAAGACCCAGTCACTTGCCGCTGGACAGTCATTGTTACTTCAGAGCATCAGTCAGCATAAAAGTAAGGGAAATAACCTATCACTTGCCCCTCTTCTGTCATCGTTACTTCAGAGTATCAGTCAGCATACAATTAAGAGAAATAACCTATCACTTGCCCGTCGACTCTGATTCTGACTTCAGTGAAATAATCAGCATAAAAGTAAGGGAAAGACCCTTTCAGTTGCCCCTCAACTGGCATTGTTACATATGAGCACCAGTCAGGATAAAATTAAGGGAAAGACCCTATCTCTTGCCCCTCTACTTTCATCGTTACTTCAGAGGATCAGTCAGCATAAAAGTAAGGGAAAGACCCTACCTCTTGGTCCTCGACTGTCATTCTTCCTTTAGAGCATCAGTCAGAATAAAATAAGGGAAATAACCTCTGTCTTGCCCCTCGATTGTCATTGTTACTTCAGAGCATCAGTAAGCATAAAATTAAGGGAAATAACTTATCCCTTGCCCATCCACTGTAATCAACATAAAAGTAAGGGAAAGACTCTATCACTTTCCCCTCTACTGTCGTAGTTACTTCGGAGCATCAGTCAGCATAATAGTAAGGAAAGAACTTATCTCTTTCCCTCGACTGCCATTGTTACTTCAGAGCATTAGACAGCATAAAAGTATGAGAAATACTCTATCACTTGCCCCTCGACAGTCATTGTTACATTTGCCACAACCTGTCATTCAGCTTTTCGATTCTTCAAATCTGTTTTATTTATAAAAAAAAAATCTCTTTTCACGGACAACGGGATGATTTCAATATAGTACTAACAATTACACGAATTTTCTTAAAGAATAAATAACTTTTTTGAATGCTCTGATAAATAACATATTTATTCGTTTTTTTTTTTTACATATGCATGTAAGAAATAATGACGCACACCTCCCACGAAATAAAAGAAATGTACACACGGGAAATTATTATTATTATAATTTACATTGTTATTTTTCGATGAGTTTCCTTTTATCTACATACAGATCGTTATTCACCGATCATTACATGAAGTAACATTGACCGCAAATAAAGTATAAAAACTTCCAAATACATAACATCTGGGGAGGGGTGCTCTCTTTCTTTGAGAATAATTCAGACGAAAATTGTGGTACGTCAAGACAGGAAGAAATATAAAGATGCCTAAATAGCATCGCACGGGCCACGTGGAGATTGTAGTTCTATAATTGATAGCCCCGAAAATAATTTGACTGAGATTTTCTTCCTAATTATTATGAGATGGAGAGGATCAAACGTACCCCATTTAAATTGAGGGGTCTGCTTATTAAAGGAAGAAAATTCTTTCAGAATATAATGTTGATATGATTGCATACATTTACACTTCCTAGATATATATGTCATTTTATTTTGAAAGAGATCTTGGCAAATAAGTAAAATAAATTCGGGTTGCAAGAACATATTAACACATAGTGGGTAACATCACACAAGACATGTTTCATACATTTTTACGTATGGTTCGTGTCACGTTTTTTAAAATATATATATATATATATATATATATATATATATATATATATATATAAACAAAACACACATACACACACATATGTATATATATATAAATGTGAACTGTGAAGTCAACATTCATAGGCAACAGGCTGTTTCTTACAAGACGCAATCGTTTACATACGCTTTATCTCTGATATCGAGCATTTATACCATAAATATAGCATTTTATTTTATGCTTAGCTATATATATATATATATATGTGTGTGTAGAGAGAGAGAGAGAGAGAGAGAGAGAGGCTGAACTCGCTCGTAGTTTTCGATGAATGAGGGTCAAGCAACTCATTTCCTAGAAACCTACAGCCAGACACCTAGATATATTGTTTGGTTATAGTAGTGAAATCTTTGTGAAGATATATATATATATATATATATATATATATATATATATATATTCCGTAACCTAGGGAAAGATATTGAATAGAATAATCACACGGAGGTTGGTAATGAACGATAATACTTTGGACAAGAACAACACATATAAGTTTCGCCAGTGGCGCGTAGAAGTGGTCTAATGCTAGAAGAAACTCTCACTGGATAATATTTTGATAAAGATTCACTGATTTGTTTGAAAACGGATTCACCCCACAGGTAAAATGGAGAATTATATCTAGAGCTCATACTCCTAGAATACTTTATAGACAGATGTGACTTCTGCATTAAAGAAAAATCTTAATAATCTCTCATAATTATCCTGAGAAATTATTAAATCACAGCAATGGAATCATCTTTAAATGCCGACAAAGACATCGTCTCAAAATAACAAGTTACATCTAATTTTGGATGACCTCCCCATGGATACTCAGGAAGTTTATATTATCTATACTTGAAGTAACAACTGATGTCACACTATATATAAGTTCAATCGCTTATATTATAGTATATATGTGGATAGATATTTGTATATGGGCACAGAAGTATACACATATGTTGGTGTATGTATATGCAAGTATTTATATACGGTGGTATATACTTACTAATATTTGGATGTGTAAATTTATACATGCACAGACGCGTGCACGCTTGTATGTGCACATGTGTGGGCTTGTATATATGTATACCCACGTATATGTATGTATATATAGATATATATGTATATGTATAGATATACCTATATGCATGTCTATATGTATGTATATGTATATGTATATATGTATACATATATATATATGTATCTGGTTTGTATACATGTCTGTATATGTACTTGTATATGTATGTAGATATGTATATATGTATGTACATATATGTGTATGTATACGTGTGTATATGTATGTATGTGTATGTATCAATGGTTATATGTGTATATATATATACGTGTCTGTGCATGTGTGTATGTATGTAGGAATGTATGCATATGTTTATATATGTTTATATGTATATATATGTGTATATGGGCTATATATATATGTGTATGTATGAATATCAATATATGTGCGCATATGTGTACGTATATATACATGTGTGAGTGGGTGTATAGATATTTGTATATGTGCGGATATTTATATGGACATATATATATATATATATATATATATATATATATATATATATTGTTTGTGTGTGTGAGTGTATGTGTGTGTGCATCCATGGGAGTATGAACCTGCCGTATGATTACTGTTATTATTATTATTATTATTACGGTTATTTTTTTCATTTTACCTCTTATAAGAAATTATGTATTAAGACTATTATTATGATTATTATTATTTATTTATTTATTTATATTATATTCACACTATTTTTATTTCCTAGCTTAGTTTGTTGAAATTTTTAAAAATGTTATCAGCCAAATATAAAAATCTTTCTTTTTGAGAATTTTTCGTACTATGTCCATATATGTTAATTTATCCTTTCTTTTTCTTTTCCTTCATCTTTTACAAACTCTCTTTTTTTCATTTCTTTCTCAAACTCAACTTCCCCCATCTACTTTCTTATTCTCTCCTACCTTTTTATTCTTCTTCTTATCTCATTTCGTTTGAGATGACTTATTAAATAGGTCACTGTCTTGTCCAAACCTCCTCTCTTACTCTTAAATATCTTAATAAAAATAGATTAAAAATTATTCCTACCGCTCCCTTCTCTCTCTAATTTCGACCATGTCTCTCGTACTAATCTTCTTCCTCTCTATATATCACATTATTTCAACTTAAAACTACTCATGAAAAGTGTATAAAAATTATATGTAAATTTTAAACATATTTTTTCACCCTTGGAAATGTGGTCTGATGAACCAGGTAAAAATCATACACCTGGGGAAATAAATAAAAACTAATGGACTTGTCTATTTTCTATTTAAATTAATAATTGCTCTGATTTGACATTGAGCTCTCTGGATTACATCCTCCTTGAGATTATCCATATATATAACCGAAGAACTACCCGCTAAGAGTTATCTTCATTCAAAATCTTTCAGATTCTCAAAAGTAGACTATTACTCACATTGCCAAAAAATATCACATTTTATAAATGCCAGCCAGACTGCCCAGACATTGATCCTATAGAAAATGTGTGGCTCTTCCTTAAAAGATAATGAAAAACACTCTTCACACAAAGAAGCAATAAAAGCTTATGAAAGTAGTGTTAACGTTTTCATCCAAAAAGAATTAACGAAATCAATGAATGAAAGATAATTAAGCTATAGAATATTAAAGAGCCTATAATATTATGTAAATTAATAAACAATTTTTTTACTTAGGTGTATTGGATATTATGTTAATCAATATATCTTCTTATGACTTATATCCCTTGGATTTATTTATAAGTAAGAAATGATGTTTCATTTTGCCTAA